GAGGCTATATCCATGCAAGTGTCAAATTCAAATCCAGGCTTTTGTCTGTATGAATGCAAAACACAATATCTTACAATAGGTGTTTGGCCTAAATATTAAGACTATAGTAACTTAGACAACCACTCTTTACAAATGTGGTGAGGGTTCTGCTGTTGTAGCCCATCCACCTCAAGGTTCGACATGTTATGCGTTCTGAGATGCTTTTCAGTTCACCACAGTTGTAAAGAGTGAATAACTAGCGTATCCTTCCTGTCAGCTCGAACCACTCTGGCCATTCTTCTCTGACCTCTCTCATCAACAAGGCATTTCTGCTTACAGAACTGGATGTTTTTTGTTTTTCACACAATTTTGTGTAAACTATAGACATGTGAAAATCCCAGATTGCATTGTGCTGCTGCCACATGATTGGCTGATTGGATAACTGCATGAATGAGCAGGTGTACAGGTTAAAGTAGCCAGTGAGTGTATGATGTCCAAATTTTAAATACTGAATTGTTGTAATACATGAACAAAGCAATCCTACATTAATTTGATTTTATACATGATCCTCGGGCCATGACAGTTAATTCTCCAGCTCATTCTAATATAGTGAATACATGATTCCCACTCTGTATGAAAGTAGACAATAATTTTAAAATAATGAGCTTATCTATTATTTCAGTACAGTGCCTGCTTGAGAAGAGAGTAAAAAGCCATTAGCAGTTAATGATGCCTTTATAAACCCTACTAATGTTTAAGCCTCATACCTCAAACCTTAAGCTAATGCACTTACCAGCTTTCGCAAAGCCTCGGAGAATTTGACCAAAAACAGACCAGCACCCACTTACCTCAAAGCATTTATCACACCCCGCTGTACACGATCCCTCCGATCCTCTAGCACTGCTCGATTGGACCCATCATCTTTCAGGGTACAAGGAAGGCATGCATCGAGACTCTTCTCTGTTCTGGCACCTAGGTGGTGGAATGAACTTCCCCTAGATGTCCAAACAGCTGAGTAACTCACAGTCTTCAAATGTCATCTAAAAACCTACCTCTTCCTGAAGTACATAAATTAGCACTTTAATTTTAAAAATGTGTTGTCTGTGTGATTTTCTTACTATATTACCTCCCCAACAGAGTTTTTAGATTTATGGTATTCTTAGTCCATGACCTAGTGAACCAGTATCAGGATGTATTTATTGATAGAGACTTCAAAGCACTTCTGTAAGTCACTCTGGATTAGGGTGTCTGCCAAATGCCATAAATGTAAATGTAAATGACCCCTTGCAGTTCCATCCATCCATTCTCTGTACCACTTATCCTACAGACGGTTGCAGGGGAGCCTGGAGCCTATCCAAGGAAACTCAGGGCACAAGGTGGGGGACACCCTGAACAGGGTGCCAACCCATCACAGGGCACAATCACACACACATTCAGACACTACGGACAATTTGGAAATACCAATCAGGCTATAATGCAGGTTTTTGGACTGGGGGAGGAAACCGGAGTACCCGGAGGAAGCCCCTGAAGCACGGGGAGAACACGCAAGCTGTGTGCACGCAGGGCGGAGATGGGATTCAAGCCTCCAACCCTAGAGGTGTGAGGCAACAGTGCTAACCACTAAGCCACCATGCCCCCCCACCCACTTGCAGTTACAGTCCTTTAATCTTTAACCAGCTTGTTCATAACATCCCATGAATATCAAATTTCAAAATAAACAAAGCTGAAAATAAAAAATGAAAGAAAGACAATAGACCTTAAATAATCGTTCAATGTTTTTAATTCACAGCATTTCTTTATTGGTTAAAAACAATCTCTTCCTTTCAAAAGGTCAGCTAATAAAGGCAACTGAGAGAGCCAACCTAGTCTAGATACATATCTCAGGTCTCGAGTGCTGCTCTAATTAGAGTGCAAACACTGTGTGTTAGTTTAAGCCTAAAACAAAGGCTTTAGGGACATAAATCCAAAAGGACACTGATGAAATGAGAGCAAAGAGGAAGCACTCTTATCTGCTTCAGCAGCAGTAGGCGGGACACAGAGATTCCACCACAGAGTTGGCAGGGTGTCTGTAGCGTTTATTAGCCAGTAACCCTGGACCACCTCATCTTCAAGCCTTTCACTGACACGCAGCAGTGCTGATAAGAGCAGTGATGAACTATAAACTTCACACAGGAAGGCTTAAGAGGCTGGCAATGCATGCTAGCTGGCACAGCAGGCATCGCTGCATGGGAAACACTAGGAAGCAAACTGAACCCAACACACACAGGTCTTGTGCATACTGAAGTTTAGAAGCATGAGATGATAAGAAAAATAAATCCATAAAATTTGTCCACAAAATTGTTTGTCCACAAAATTTGAAAAAAAAAAAAAAAAAGGTTATTGACCCATAAAGTTTTTACCCTTGTAACTACCCTTTGTGTACTCTTTTTTAAAATTATTATTATTATTATTTTCAACCAGATGGAAATTGTGGAAATTTCTGGCGAGCTTTCAAAAAATATATATTGGTATCTATATTAGGGGTGTAAAACTTAGGCTCCGACACAGAACAATACAATTTCAATTCTTAAGACAATGATTAGATATTCGACCATGCCACTGAATCTGCTACGATACAGTATGATTTGATTTGATGTAATAGCCTCTGATCCATATGTGACCAACATTGTTCAGAATCTAGTGTAGGTGTACTGTTAATTCATAGAGAATGAGAATGCATAGAGACACAGAGCATATTAAGTATCAGACTTACAGGGCAAGTCACCTTGTTAGCCTATTTACTTTTTGCCCTTTTTTGATAATAATTGATTTATAATCAGTTATAATCAATTATAATTGATTTATGATCCTTGCCTTTTAAAATCGATGCATTGATCCAAATCATCTGATCATTACACCTCTAATTTGTATCCGTTTGGAACACATTATCTGTTCATTCTGAATAATGTATTCATATTCAATTCCATCCCTAATCCACCTATAGCCTAATTGTGATCTTTGTGTTCTGAAAAGCTTGTTACTTGTTAAACTAATAGACTACATCTGTCTAGAAGGCAAGTGACAGGATGGTAAAAAGGAGTAAAACTATTTTAGTTGGCTATGCTATAGCTTTACAAAAGACCACAACATCAGTCAGCATGGTTGTGCCTTATGTTTTGGATTGCTGTCTTGTTCTAGATTAATAATTCTGTATAATTCTTAAAGCCAGTCTCCATTATTTGCACAGAAAAATGTAATCAAACCCTCTGCAGTGAGGGAACGTTGCAAACAGGACATTAGAAGAGCACGGACCTTCCAAGAGTAATCAATCATGTTGTTCTTGTTCTTATGCAAATGATATGTTGATTGGTTCTGAAACAATTAGCAGTACTCATTAATTAAGGCCAGAACCATTTTGTCAATGTTGGAGGGTCGGAGACCAGGAGGAGAATAACTCCTGTGTGTGATTAATGAGTGCGTAAAGATCAGCTCTCCTGAGAGAAACATGGTTGAAAAAGTGATGTAACACATGTACTAAAAGCTTTATTTACAGGGAAGTGAGTCGAAATCATTCGCTGCACTTAACTGGAAGTACTTGAAGTTAAGTTGAGAGTTGAGTGCAAACAGGCAGAGAAAAAAGAAAACACAATATAAATCTTTGAGACTCTGCTAACCTCCGGTGACGGTTTCCACACACTCGCACACGTCTGCTGCCTTTTCTTCAGTGTGTTCACACCTCACTTGTGAAAACTCAAGCTACCAACTGCTTTCCTGCCAATCCAGCAAGGCAAATCTGCATTGCCAGACACCGCGCATGAGTCACGCCATCAAATCCACGTTAGCTCCACCGCTACTGAAACCACATCACAAATGTTGAAACACGAAGAGGGAAGATGGCGCATTTTCATTCCTAGCAATGCACAAATATAAATATAGCAATGATAGATGATAGATTGTTTGCGGTTGATAAAAAGATAAATTCCAGGACTACAAGAGAGACTATTGGACCTTGAGCACCCTTAATACTCACCTGCATGGATGCAATTAAATATTATTTGTATAGAACTTTTATCAAAAGAGATTGATACAAAGAAGAGCTGCGGAAATGCGTATTTAGATTTAGATCCCTAATGAGCAACCCAGAGGCGATGGTGGCTAGGAAAAACTCCCTGAGAAGACATGAGGAAGAAACCTTGCGTGGAACCAGATTCAAAAGGGAACCATAAATCATTACACTTCTAAAACTGTGTACTATAACATCAAACAGTACTAAGTGTGTTGAAAGGATGTTCAGTATGAGCATGGAGCGTTTATGATTACAGCAGCACTTCTACAGTAACCAGGTCAGACTATGCACTGAAACCAGGGTGAGTCTTGGGCATAAACTGTTCTTGGGAATCCCAAATCTTTAGGGTATCCATGTGCAACAATCCACAGCAGCAGAAAGTGTGTCACAAGTGCAGAAGTTCCCACCAAAGAATTACCGGAATATGTGTGGCAATCTCGGAAAACCTGCTGGATGCCGCTGCGGCTGAATTCTGAATCTGGTTTTGATCAAAATTGAGTTGTTTCACCTTTATTTAAAACAAAAAGATATATTTCAATAAAACAATGTGGAAATGTTTTTATTTAGGCTACTTTCTAACCTTGCCTTGACCTTATGATCATGTAGTTTAACAAACATGGTGGTAAACACAGACTGCCTAAAGATGTCTAAAACCTTACTAGCAGAGTGTGATTTCCTCACACAGTGAATGTCACACTTTGATCAAACTTGTAATCTAATACCGGCTGTCAAAATGTCTGCAATGCTCCTGCGCCATCACATCATCATCAAAACCGATAAGAGCACTTACACTCTGTACAGATAACACTGGACAAAGTTTTAAAAAGTTTAAAATGACCTAAAAAAGGACATTGTTGTTAGGCTGCTCCTGTTATGGGGTCACCACAGCAGATCATTGGTCTGCGTATTTGATTTGGCATCAACCTTCCCCAATTTTGGGCTTGGGACTGGCAGTGAGAGCTCACTGTTGCATACAACCCCAGTGACCAGGAATTCGAACCCAGGCCGCAGGAGTGAGAGCACTGTGGCCTATCCACTAGTCCTCCAGGGACCCACACCTTATTTAAAAAAAAAAAAAAAAAAAAAAAAAAGGACATTAATACCAAAAATAGTCAACAGAATAGAAGTGTGTGAATGAATCAGTGATTATTTCAGTGCTGATGTTAGCGTGAACATAGACAATGAGACAGAGACTGATGTAGATGATGCTGATAATCAAAGTGAGAACTCATTTCCCGTTGCAAACTTATAATTTTATTATAATAAAAATGGTAGTAATGATGATTATCTATAAGTAGATTAGGCTATAAATGTAGAGGTAAGCAGAATATGTTTCAGTGAATTGGAATGAAATCTTTAAAAGTGATTTTCTCCCTTTTCACTTTTGGGGGATTCAGATTTTAAAATGCTAGAACTTAATGTGTTATTGATATACACGCAATCAAATTTCCACCATGTGAATATGCATAAAGAAATTCGGCCTCACTATCAAGCCTTAAAAAATCAACCTTTACTGTGTGGCCTTAGGTGAAAAGATCCGAAAGTCATCAAAATCATCCCAGTTTGTTGCACATTGCTTCCTAATTGAGCCCCAAATCATCTTTTTTGATGCAAAATCTGTCTGGTAAAATTCAAGTCCCCATCTGCACCAAAATAATTAACCCCCCTTTATTGAAGTCAAATTAACACTCGCCCCCTACAGATTTCTCCACTGCTGCCTCTGAGCCCCGCTTATCTCCACAAGTAATAAACATTTCAGGCCCTCGAGCATCCTGTGCAGGCGAGAGACAGAGGGAGAGGGGGGAAAAAGAGGGAGTTAATAAAATAAATAATAATCCCTGCTCTAAATTTCTTTGCACCACATCAACCTGGACGTTTGCACCAAGGACATTTAAGAGCTGCTCAGAAATTAGGCTTTTCAACCACAAAAAGGATTCTTTGGCCACCAAAATTAAGAATAGCAATGTGATGAAAACTGGCATGAAGATAACAGGTGCAATCATGTATAGATTAAAAAAACACATCACCTTACAGCACTGAACATTGAAAATGGACAAAAGCCTACACACACATACACGAGTGGAGTAAAGTGAAGAATTTTGCTTCTACACATGGCCTTGCAGATGAATGCTGTGCTGATTGTGTTTGCCGAGGAAAAGATGTGTTCCATCCATCGCTCCCCTCCTTTCCCCACTCGTACCCCTTCCAAACATCCGAAGTCTGAAAAGACCACATTATCCAGAGGATTCGTGTCAATTTGCATATTCATTAGAATTAATTAAAATGCATTGCTGCCTGTTTTTTTATCTTTATTTTTTTCAATACTTGAGAGGTTGTAGAGACAAAGAGGAAAATGATCAGAATGTGCGATTAGAGTCTAAAAAAGAGAGTGAGAGAGAAAGAGAGAGAGAGAATGAGAGAAAGAACTACAGTATCTCCAGCCGAGCTTAACGTCGGGGAAATGCCTTTTTATTCAAAATCAAGCCCGACTCTTCCTGATGAGTCTTATTCAGCCGCAGACAAACGGGGCCTTTCTATAAGATGGGCGACTCTCTAATTTGGACGAGTTCAGGTGCCTTTTCCCTGGGAAACTTGAATTTTAAAAGGCCCGAGCCACACGACTGCTCCACAAAGCCTCCTGGCTGCTTTTGTGCACGAGCTGTGGAGTGAAGCAGTCAATCACACACACAGACACGCACAAGCACGCGCGCACGCCGAGCTCATTCAAAAGCATTGCTACTACTCCCTAATTAAGATCACAGGGCACACATTAATGCATTTTCAATCCAAATGAAGGCATTCAGCCTGTTATGCAGCGAATGTAGGAGCTGATCAGGAATAAAATAAAGGTGTTTTTTAACGGTTGTTAAAAAAATGGCATTAACGTTAACAAATGAAAAACAAACACATACAAATAAGTTGATTAGGTGTCATGAGGCTAAGGTCAGGGTCATGCAGGTTAATAGCAGACCTGTATGGTATTTGTCAAGCTTTGGAAATGGTTAGCGGCATCCTGAACTTTCTCAACTGCTATGTGCTACAAAATAATTATTTTTCTACCATGTGCTTGGCTCCATTTCTCTAATTAACCTGAATATCCATTATTACAAAGTTGTAATACAGAGATTACAATAAAAATTTGTAATCATGTCATCTTAATTAAAGGTAAAATTACTTTTTTTTTTTTTTGGAAATCAATCATTCAAGAATTTACAGGATTACTGAAAATATAAATGTAGTGCAATTCTCTTTTCCATTTTTTGAGAATTAAAATCCCATGAAACTACAAACAGTGGGCTAACTAGTTTGTCATTCAACTGCCATGTATTTTTTCTCTGTTATCTTTTTTCTCTCTTTAAGTTAATAAGACAAAAAAAGGCAGCTTGTCTTGTTACCAAGAAAACACAAAGTCCCCCCATCCTTGAGGTTTTACTGGAAAACCTAAAGTTACAGCTTTACACAGAGGATCTATCAATCTCATAAAACACTATTAATATTAGGAGAGAAGAGTCACAGGTGCAGAAAAAAGTTCAGAGATTGGTCTTTTAAATAGGATTTTAGTGTGGAATAGAATGGAGGCCTGGCTTCGCTCTCAGCATTAGAAGAGTGTCAAAGAAAATGGGTACTTTTCAGTACTCCACTTGACACCTCCTTGAGGCTACATCCTTCAGCCTGTGAGCTAGAAATGTCCACCATCATTAAGGACATATCAGTTATTTTCAGGGACATGCAGAGACCTTAAGGGGGCAGATGTTCAAGTTGGATCAAGATGTTAGAACACCAACTACAGTGTAACTCACAGGTTCCCAACCCTGGTCCTGGACAAACCCCTGTCCTGGACATTTTAGTGTTTTTCCTGCTCTAACTGAGTGACTTTGACAAGGGCCAAATTGTGATGGCTAGACGACTGGGTCAGAGCATCTCCAAAACAGCAGGTCTTATGGGGTGTTCCCAGTATGCAGTGGTTAGTACCTACCAAAAGTGTTCCAAGGAAGGACAACCAGTGACAGGGTCATGGGCACCCAAGGCTCATTGATACGTGTAGGGAGCAAAGGCTAGCCCATCTGTTCAGATCCCACAGAAGAGCTACTGTAGCACAAATTGCTGAAAAAGTTAAAGCTGGCTATGATAGAAAGGTGTCAGAACACACAGTGCATCACAGCTTGCTGTGTATGGGGCTGCGTAGCCACAGGTCAGAGTGCCCATGCTGACCCCTGTCCACCGCCGAAAGCACCTACAATGGGCACGTGAGTATCAGAACTGGACCATGGAGCAATGGAAGAAGGCGGCCTGGTCTGATGAATCATGTTTTCTTTTACATCATGTGGATAGCCGGTACACTTTCATGCCAACGGTATTCCCTAATAGCAGTGGCCTCTTTCAGCAGGACATTGCAAAAATTGTTCAGGAATGGTTTGAGGAGCATGACAAAGAGTTCAAGGTGTTGATTTGGCCTCCAGATTCCCCAGATCTCAATCCCATTAAGCATCTGTGCGATGTGCTGGACAAACAAGTTCGATCCATGAAGGCCCCACTTCACAACTTACAGGACTTAAAGGATCTACTGCTAACGTCTTGGTGCCAGATACCACAACACACCTTGTGTAGTCCATGCCTCGACAGGTCAGAGCTGTTTTGGCGGCACAAGGGGGACCTACACAATATTAGTCAATATTAGGAAAAGTCTTTATTAACACTTTGATATGATTTTGTATGATGTGTAGAGGTGTGGACGAGGCTGTTTTTTTAATCCTGCTCCCATCCACTCCTGAAGCAATTCCTCCTGCAGATATTTTTGTTGTCTGAAATAAAAATTGAATAAAATCCTTGGAACTGACAACATGAATTCCATTGTGATCAGCACTTTGTAAAGGAGCACTTTCAGAGCCACGGGTTGCACATCAGTATCAGTGTCTAGTTTAGAGTCAGATCAGCAACACATGCCAGCTGAAACAGGCTCATGCAGACTTGTTTTCAGACACCACTGGATTTGAACATGATGAAAACACCTCTGTGGACATTGCATCTGAAATTAAGTTATAAGGAGCTTCCCCTCTGCGTGGTCTCAGTTTCAGAATCAACGATTTTAGCTGAGTGGCCAGCTCATCCATATGAGTGTGTTTTAAGGATTGGTATGTCCTTAAATAGTGTAATATCATACACAGATTTATTATTTTGCACATTTATTGCACCGATTTATTTATTTTTGTCATTGACAGTGTAGCCTAAAGAGCACTGAATCAGGAAATATAATTTGTAGCCTGTATACAGCTGTTAAAATTTGATGCACATATAAACAACCTAACAATATTGATGTCCTGAAACATTTTTTGGCAAAGATAGAAATGATGACTAGTTAACAAACTTTTTTGAATTACTAATAAAAAGTACTAGTCATTCAATCCCTAATATAGGCTTGAACTTTGATACACACATCCAGTAACATTTTGATCAATGTTAATTTAGTGTGTAATCACACTGTTTTGTTTATGTACAGATCTATTATGGCTAATAATACTACATCATACAGCTGTAAAACAGCTCATCAATAAGTGACGTGTCATTTGGTAAATACACTTGGTGCCAACTCCTCCTTTCCTCATATCTCATCCTTGTTTCCCTTCCTCGTACCCACAGAGCAGGGAAAGTAAATGAGAAGCATGATTGAAGAAATTAGATGCACCCAAAGAACAAGTGTCAGAAACACATCCTGTTTTCTTTAGTCCTTGCTCCAGCTGTGCACTACCACATCCTCCTGATCTGTGTTCACACCTCATTCTTGTGATTAGTCGCATTGTTTCTCACTAGTCTCTCTATTGTTATTTCTTGGGTTGAAACACAAGACTTAAAAAAAGCCATGTTCTTCCAGATGCTTCCATAGAAATTACTTTTTGGATTTGGTTTCTGCTCTTGGTTTAGGTCTCTGCCTCACTGAGAACCATGTCATTATGGTCCTGCCGATGTTCACCATGTCTGCTTGTTCTTTAACCATGATTCTTGGATAACTCCTAATAAAAACACTCTTCTCTCACATCCAATTACCACTGGAT